GAAAGCACAAATCGATACAGACTATCGTATACGTCGTCGCCAGCTGTCAAGAAAAGGTTTTGCTGTCTGCAGAGGGTAACGTCTTTTTGGTTGTCCAGGTTAGGGTAGAATAGTTGTTGAACATCTGCAGGCTTTTGTACTTGCGGGAGACTTGCCAACTGAATCCAGTCACTAGACTGGACGTCAATGCCGAATTCACTGCGTATTTGAGATATTGAGTCGATTACGGAGTGGAACGTGGTGAACCAGAACTGTTGTACTCTTAGTGCGATTCTAATTGCTCTTAGTAGTATCCACTTACATTGTCAATCCTGCAGCTCGCCATCCATTTAAATGTAGAAATGTTAAATGTTGCCTGGCCAAGCGAGAATTCGCACCATCTTGTAATCATTTGCTTCCAATTCTGATTCCTCCATAGAGTGCCTAGTCGCCTCACTGGAAATTTGACTCGACCACTTAGCCCAAGGTGTTCTAGCATTTGCCGCTCTACCTCTGTCTTTGGGCCCTGGAAAAGTGTATTATCTGAAGACGACAAGGTCGCCAACTCCGTCCATATCTGGCCATGGTTGTCAGGCAGAATTAAATCTTCTCGGTTAGCCCGAAGCTTAGTGCGTAGATGCGGTGGCAGTGCGTCTTGTTTTGTATTAGCTTGCATCGGTTCGCTTGTCTCAGGGGGGGCGGGTTTCAACCTTTGTTGTAAATGTCGCAAATCCACCATCGCTCTTCCTTGCCGCAACCCAAAAGCCGCAGGCGCTTCTTCAGAGCCTCTACTCTATGATTGCCCGCCATAAGTTCGGCCTTCTCTCCCACTACCATATCCCAATCTTCAAATGAAGGCCACTCAAACTCCTCTCCCCGCATATCCTCTCTTGCAGCGGCAACCTGTCCATCCTGCGCCTGCTCCCAGCTGAGATGATCTAGCATCTTCTTCACCTGCTCTTTGGTGCACGCTATTCTAAGTCGATGACCTGGGTCCCTTTGAAGAACGCCTTGTTCACTAAATATCTCACAAAGCCGCTGCTTGTGCGCCTTGTTGATGGATCAGTTTCCGCCGACAGTCCATTCTGGGGTGAGTGCATCGATCGGGAATTTCGCTGTTGCCAGTTAATACGGTTTTGCTAGCTTATAAACTGACTCTATCTCCTTAAGGGCTACAGCTTTAGACTTAGGCTCTTGACAACACTGCTTCTTCCTTCCCTCACTAGAGGTTGATGGGTTTTGGCGTTTCATTTTGCAATAGGTCTGGTGTTAAATGCGAACAAGAAGATGGCAAGAAGAGGGAAGGCAAGAAGAGGGAAGGCAGAGAGAAGGCAGAGAGGAAGCGCACGCGGTTATTTGTTTTAGCGAAGCCACTTTAGTTCTTACTCTAAGGGGTAAGGATGCCGGGGGCGGGAAGCTTGTACCCTCTTGGGGCAAGCCTTTCGGACAGAAACCACATGCAAGGACATAGTGGAGAAAGATCTTGCCCCTAGGGGCAAGCCTTTAGTCTAGAGCCTAGCGGCATATAGATGCAGGGCAGGCGGCTCTTGCCCCTAGGGGCAAGCCTTTAAGCTAGAGGCTAGAGGCAATGGATTCAGGGCCAGGACTTCTTGCCCCTAGGGGTAAGCCTTAATGGCATATACAATATATACATTCTCGCCCCGGGGGGCAACTTAACCCTATGGCAGTAGTACTGTTTCCCACCTAAGTATCTACCTACTACTGACCGCTGGAGGTGGATGGTGTTCAATTCCACCAAAAACCCGAATGCAGCTAGCGCCCAATGCCAGCCAAGTACCATAATGCTATTCCCGACTACCCACAAACCATATAGATGCATACAATATTACAGAATCTGGCTTGCAGAGCCTTTGCGAAACGT